TGCTTAACTTTGGCACTAGATGGCGTTAATGAAAAAGCTTTAAAGGTTATACGATATCAACGCCATCTATTAGGGAGTTAATAAGAGTAGATGTGTTGCTTTTTATAGTACTAGTCTTTGCCGGTATGTCTGCGTTTATGTCGGTTATTGCGTTATAAAGTAGCCCATGTCCTTTCTTAAGAATCAAAGTATTTATATGAATCAAAGTATTTTAACTTGGGAGAGCCATGCTTCGGCACGAATGGGCCAGCTCGACCGGAGTGATACCAAGGCCTCACAGAAAACCGGTGTTAAGTAATTCTTTCGTTGCCTTTCACTGAGTGAGTGAGGTTACCGGAGCCCAACTCCCCCGTCCCCCTGACTCGAGCGGGAGGGACTAAAAGGGCGGCAACGCACTTATGACTTTTGCAGGTGGCGGTAGTTGCTTACCATCATGTGACCCGTGTGCTCGTTTGCCCCCTTATACCATAAAAAAATGTCAAATTTAATTAAAATCGGTTTAGCATGTTAACGGAGAAATCTTAACAGACAGAGTTACTTTTGCGTTTAAAATATTAGTAGGGATTTTGGTCAAATAGCAATTTAGGTAGCCAACATCAGTTGTTTGAATAGTTCTATCCCTTGTTTTTTTTTTTTCTTTGCTGAAATACCCTCGGATACCACCTATCGGTGGCATGTCGGACTCGAACCGACTAAAACCGTACGCCGTCTCGGGTACTAATAGCCGGGGAACCAGGTATACCCTAGAAAGGAAGTCCCTGGTGCCCCGACATACCTCGGGCCATCTGCAGACGAGTAGACGACCCCCCCCGTGTGGGAACCCCACGTTCCGTCTGCTCCCTGGAAGCTAGTGCGCTTCGCAACACGCTCGCCGCCACCCCGGCCTGCTTCTGCTTGGGTGACAGATGGCCTCACCTGTCACCCCCAGGCCTGCGCTTATGGAGGACGGAGGTCGTTCTGCGACCTCCGGCGCCTGAGTCGCCTGCGGTACCTACCGTTCCCGGGCCTGGCGGGCCGGGAGAGTTCTAAACCTCTCCCGGTCCCGCTCCGCCGTCTTCTTCGCGAGCATAACTTACTCGCAGAAGGAGATCGCAGAGTTCCACGCACTCTCGCTCGAGAGAATTTTCGCAATTTTCGTCGCAATTTGTAACATTGCTAGGATGGTTTCTTTCATAGAATCGTAATAATAAGACACGAGAAGTCGTATAAATGCTTGACCTTTTCTTCGCAATGATGTGTTAACGAACACCACTTCAATTCATACCATTCGTGATTTATTTAAATGCTTATATACTCGTAGTTCCAAATAGATAGCTACATCTAGGATAGGTACATATAAATTACATCAAGACACAGAACATATGATCGTGCTCATCACACAATATTCGCTTAGGGTGGAAATCGAACCCACAACCTCTGATTTACCAGTCAGGATCACTAACAGACCAACGGGCAAGCCCCTCAGGGAATCCGATGACTCCTGCAGGACCTAAGCCGGGGTTGTGCGATCCATGACCCTTTATGGGGCCCCAGTATGGCCGGAGGCCCTGAGAACTAGTAACGTCTCACTATTGCGATGACCGCAGCGAGTGCTGGCTATCAGGTTCATAAAAGGATACCGAACGATCACCTTTCAGGTGGCGAGTCTCCCGGCACTCCACCGTGAGACCTGGAGGCGCGGGAGTTCTGAGACTCGAGAAATCGAAGACAATAAATCCCAACTCCTAGGGGAGTCCCTTCTGCACAGAAAAAAAAAGCCTTATAAAATTTGATTTGTCGTAAAACTGAATTTAACGTTATCTAACCTTCATAAAACTATTGAAAGAATTGATGAGGACGCCTTGACCCACAATTCGACAGCACAGATTAGGTGTAGCCAATATTTGCAGGGCGCTTATCAGCCACACAACGCCCCGTATCGTGTACCAACTGATAATTGATAACAGATATTATGATTCATTCTTACTGAGGCAGAACAATAGTATAACAGTTTTAGCTTTTGTACGTTTATAATATCATTTTATTAAAAATATATATTAAATAAGTACCTTTTAAATATCAAGTTTAGACGAAAAGTGTGTATTCTAGTTTGTTATGGTGAAAGATATGAGATATCACATTTTTGGGCATACATTTTATCGTAATCAGTGTGTTGATTAAGTGTTTGTGAACAATTTTTTTATTGATATTCCTTTATACATGATATGTCGTTTACAGCAGAAGCAGGTTTGTATTAATTAAAATCTTGATTATTTCTCAAAATGTTAATAAACGATTTGTTTGCAAAATTGAACACTATGTATTTATTTGACACAGATTGTATTTTACTTTATATTGCACATTTAAGTTTAATATCACGTGATATTATCTACCGGTCAACCTTTGGATGATTCAGTGATGAACATTATATGTGTAAGAGAAAGAATTTCTTTAAATAAAGATGTCAAATATCGAAATTCTTTTATAGAAATAAAGAGTATAAAAGGATATCTTATGACAAGAAGCAATAAATATATCACAATACAAATTTAATCATTCTTTTATACATAGTGGTTTCAATGCATCGCCTTTCGCATTAGATGTTTCACATTTAAAACAATATTATAATAATACATACATGCCTACAGATTTATAGATATATAAAAAATAAAATATATTTCTATGGTTATAAGTTGCTTATGGGACTGAATTTTATTAATCTATGCAATATCATAAGTAATCGTCTGTGGTGTTCCCGGAAGACCATCAAGAAAAGGGCGTATTCCTTCCTAAGAGGCCCGGCATTGCGTTTGTCACTTCTGAGTTGCAGACGTTTATGGACGGTAATTACTTTCCGGTATAAGACGGTAGTTACTTTCCATCAGCTGACCAGTCTGCTCGTCTGCCCCCTCTTTCATAAAAATATATGTATTTATGCAACAATATGTGTTTATGATGACAATTGATGATTGTACAGTTGCTCAATATACATAGATTAAAAAATGCAAGCTACGTATAACCGAAAGAACTAACTTCAAATGTATGCTTATAAATACAATATTAATAACTTCACACATCTCACACACGGCCGTCTGATCCCAAACTAGGCAGAGCCTGTACTATGGTAACCAGACTGCTGTGAAACATACTTATATATTTTTAAATACATACATATTATATGGGGTCTACCAATAAGAACGTCCTGGTTTAAAAATTGAATAAAACACACAATTTTTTTATGAAAAATGCATCCGATTGATTTATTTGATAGATAATTTTATGCAATTTAAATACATACATCTTAGAAATAAATTAAACCCAGACACAGAACAAATCATCGTGCTCGTCACACAATTATTTGTCCTGGGTCGGAATCGAACCCATGAGTCAGGGTCACTAACCACTAGACCAACAGGCCCGCCAATATAATATAAAATGTAATATAATATTGTAAATACGTAAAGATATGTTGTCTTGTAGATTTGGCCCGGCGGTCTAGAAGTTAGCGATTCTGACTGCTAAGAGAGAGGCCGTGAGTTTGATTTCCATCCAAGACAAATATTGGGCACGATCATTGGATCTATATATGGGTATAATTTATCTGGTTGTTAATTTCTGGTTGTAAATAATTGGTTTACCACGTATTTTTTTTCTGTGCGGTGGTTATGTCGGACCCGAACCGACTAAAAACCGCACGCCAGCTCGACTACCAGTAGATGGGGAACCAGGTGTAACGTAGGATGGAAATCCCCGGTATCTTGATAGACCCCGAGCCATTTACGGCGTATAGACAACACCCTCGTGTGTGGAAACCACTGTGTTTCCATTCTACAACCTAAATAGGCTTCATCATTAATCATCATCAACAGCCTTTAACAGTCCACTGCTGGACATAGGCCTCTCCTTAGAAAAATAGCCTTGAAACCTTATTTTTAGGTAGGACTAGAATTTAGAGTCGTCGTCAAATGGTGAGCTATTAATACACCTCTGTTAACTCCTACAGTAACACAGACGAAGTGTATTTATAAATATAAGCTCACAAAAGTTTTAAGGTTTACATCAAAAAACTGTTTCTAATTTAATTTCATTGATTTTCTTTTCTTGCAAAGTCAAAATATCTTAGTTTAATATTTGAAATCATCTCTTGTGTAGACTCTAAAGTCATAGACAATAGCAACAATCTGGTTTGTCAAATATTTAGCAAAACAAATGTATACATCATCATCATCATCATCATCAACAGCCTTTAATAGTCCACTGCTGGACATAAGCCTCTCCTGAGAAAGGAGGTTTTGGCCTACTATACCACGCTGGCCAGACGGGCTGGTAAAGGGTTTGTGTCAAGTTTTCCTTCTCTCTGCAGTGCTGTTGTCCTGCTTAGTTTTTTCCCTTAGTCGGCTCTTACGACACCCACGGGATGAATAGGGGTGGTGACACTCTGTATTCTTAATCCGTCACCACACGGACCAATGTCATTGATTTTCTTTTGCTGCAAAGTCAAAATATCTTAGTTTAATATTTGAAATCATCTCTTGTGTAGACTCTAAAGTCATAGACAATAGCAACAATCTGGTTTGTCAAATATTTAGCAAAACCAATGTATACATGGAAAAAATCTATTATAATATGCTTGTGCCGATCTATAACCGCCCGATTCCAAGGAGTTGAGCATTATAAGAAGGAAGGGCAAACAGACTTAAGCGGTGGTAGCCCAGTGGTTAAGGCGTTGGACTTGCAATCAAGAGGTTGTGGGTTCTAATCCTGACCAGTACACTACTGACGTGAACCTACTCCTAACACAAGTAATTTAACTTAGCGGGAGCGGTTAACGCTAATACTAGTGATTTCGGTTGCTAGTAGACCTTCTAACAAAAAAGAAAAAGAAAAAGAAATCTCGGTCACTCTTTTTAGCAATGGTTTAATACTTAAATTTACTGGTTTTCAGGTAATATGGAAGAAATAAATTAGGACAGGAAAGAGATCGACAGTTCAGGCGCTGAAACTACTTTAGAAATATCAAGATGAGCTTGAACAAGCTGACCCGGCCCTCCGAGCTGATCTCCAAGGGCCCTAAAGACAGCCCTTGTTACTTCTGCAATGAACTCTTCGAAATGGGTCAACTACAGGTACTTCACCCTCTTGTTTTCTCGATTAGTAGCCTGATGGGTATGTGACTACCGCTGTCCATAGAAACTGCAACTGCTCCCCTCCTCTCTCCGAAGAGGGAGGAGAGGGGGGTAACCCTAAATCCACGAGTTATTGTTTTAGACGACCTTCTTATAATCTACCAAACGTCTCAAAATCTGCTTTGGTTTTTGGAATTCCATTTTAGTAAAACAATCATCATCAACAGCCTTTAATAGTCCACTGCTGGACATAACCCTCTCATTAAAAAGAAGCTTTTCGCCGCTATTTCGTTGGCCAGATGGGTTGGTAAAAGTTTTGTGTCAAGTTTTCCTTCTCTTTGTAGTGCTGTTGTCCTGCATAGCTTGCTCCCTTAGTCGGCTCTTACGACACCCATGAGATGAATAAAGGTGGTGACACTCCTTATTCTTAATCCGTCACCACACGAATAACATAGATAGCAAAACAAATAAACATATTTCCACCAAAAATAAAACACAATTCTAACATGGTCCAACGAGCCGCTCTTTTGCATCACTTAAATATAAAAAATTAAATCATCTAAATCAATTGAAGTACAAATAAACAGTATCTAGCTGTCAAGTAAAAATAAAACAGATAAAGTGAATATTTTAAAACTTTACAAGTACATTGATTGTTGATAAAATTCTTGAGATAAGAACTGTGTATAATCCATAGTAATATTAGAAATGCGTAAATGTGTCTGTCAACTCTTCACGCTTAAACCGCTGAACCGATTTACATGAAATTTGGTATAGAGATAGTTCGAGTCCCAGGAAAGATCATAGGATAGTTTTTATCCCAGAAGTCATCCTTTGAAGGGGTGAAAAGTGGGGTGAAAGTTTGTATGGGAAATCAATAACCACTAAACTGATTTAGATAGAATTTTGGTGTGGAGATAGTTTGATTTTTGAAGAAAGATAAAGGCTACTTTTTTTCGCGATAACTGTCATACACGTAAGCGGATCCGCGGGTAAAGCTAATATAACATAAATACGGATTTTCTTTTAAACTCTTCAATGCCTTAACTATTCTAACTAATCATTATAAAATTACATAGGGTACCTTTTCCAGGAAAAGGTATTACACTGTTAGTGTTAAATAAAAGAAACGAAACTAAATGCTTTTATCATGATATTGATAAGAGTCTATCAAGATTTTGAAATACGGTTGTGACCTGTTAGTGTAGTGATTAGTGAATCGGACTGCTAAGCTAGGTCGTGTGTTAGATTCCTTCCCTGGACAAATAGTTAGGTGATGAGCACGATCAATTGTTCTATGTTTCGGATTCACATCATCATCATCAACAGAATTTAATATTCCACTGCTGGACATAGGCCTATCCTTAGAAAGGAGGTCTCGGATTAATTTATCGATAATATGTATGGTCCGTGTGGTGACGGATTAAGAATACAGAGTGTCACCACCCCTATTCATCCCGTGGGTGTCGTAAGAGCCGATTAAGGGAGAAAACTACGCAGGACAACAGCACTGCAGAGAGAAGGAAAACTTGACACAAACCCTTTTTTTTTTTTTTTTAACGTGTGGAAATCCCCTCGGACCGTCACCCCTCCGGGGTTTGCGGCGGGGTGGTGTGTCGGACTCGGACCGACTAAAACCACAAACCCTATACCAACCCGTCTGGCTAGCGTGGTATAGTATGCCAAAACCTCCTTTCTAAGGTGAGGCCCATGTCCAGCAGAGGACTATTAAAGGCTGTTGATGTGTGATGATGTGATTTATGTACTTATATAAGTATGTTCATCAGCTGTCAGCAGTCTGGTGACTGTATCTAATTTGAAATCAGACGACCGCGTGTGATGTGTCATTTTATTGTTATTATTAACTAGCTGAGACCCGCGGTGTTACCCGCGTTTGTTGTTATAACCGCGGGCAACGCCGCGGGGCGAAGCTAGTCTAAAAAAAGTAGCCTAAGTTACTCCTTAAGTCATCAGCTATCTGCCAGTGAAAGTCCCGTCGAAATCGGTCCAGCCGTTCCAGAGATTACCCTGAACAAACAGACAGACAGACAAAAATTGTAAAAAATGTTATTTTGGCATATGTATCGTGTAAACATACATATGCATTTAGTAAAAAGCGGTTATTTTAATATTACAAACAGACACTCAAATTTTATTTATTTGTATAGATAATAATTAAGAATTAAACATACGAAATACTTAAATATAAGTACTAGCGTAGAATCATCTACTTGTTATTATGCGTTTATCTAAAACAAAACATAAAATTATATTTTTTAAACATTCCCCTGTTTATAAAATATCACTGAATGTTTTCATTTAACTGTGTATTAGATAATTAGTGGATATTTTGGAAATAAAATATGATATATTTACTGATATGGGTGGATACGCGAAACGATGCCATCAAAACCATTAAATTTTTCAAATATCTTACACACAACGCCATCTAGTTTCAAACTAAGCAGAGCTTGTACACTATGAAAGCTAGATTGACTGATAGAATACTTGTATACTTTTTTGTTTTATGTAAATACATACATTATACATAGGAAACAACCAAACTCCGAAACAAATATTCTTGCAGATCATACAAACATTTGGTGCGACCTGAGAATCGAAGCCGAGACCTCAGCACAGCAGTCGCATACGCTACCACTGCACCAGCGAGGCAGGCAGTTATTAACGTAATTTCTGCGTCGAGAACAGATTGTCGTCTCCTTTGATCTGCAAATATTTGTTTCGGAGTTTGGGTGTTTTCTATGTATAATATGTATGTGAAATAAAAAGTATATAAGTATTCTATCAGTAGTTCTAGCTCCTATAGTACAAGTTCTGCTTAGTTTGAAACTAGATGGCGTTGTGTGTCAGATGTCAAACAGTATTATTAAACATTATTATTATTAAATGACACCCAGATATAGAAATGATTTATTTGATGATTGAGATAAAATAATACTATCACAAATCCGCTGGCAAAAGCAAGTCTAATATAGAATGAATATTCGTTTCCCTAATGTTGGTGTCCCATATCTCTTCAGAACCATCTCAAGTTATGTGGGAGTATTTTGGAGCAATGCCCGCTGCGGTGTGGTGCCTGGATCCAGAGGAAACACAAGGAGGAACATGTCAAGGACTGCCCAAAAATGGAGAAGGTTGGTATACCCAGTGTTGTATAAAATTAAGAAATAATACCTTTAGTAGTTTATCTACTGGTCTGTATGAATGAAATAATATTAACCTCTCACACCACAAATACGGCCGACTAATCCAGTCAGAACTTAAGGTAACTAAAATACTGATAAACATTCTTACTTAAATATTTCTAAATACATACATATTTTAGAGATATTATACCAAGCCCAGACACAGAACACATGATCGTGATCACACAATTATTTGACCTGGGTGGGAATGTAACTCAGCAGTGAGTATTTTTATCAGACTAAGAGGTCCGCTGTAGACAGATCACAATGAACATTTTCTATTCAGCCAGTTTAAATATGGTTTTTAAAATAATTGAAAAAAGAAGCTTTTAATCAAACAGAACAAAACTCTTTCGTGCTTCTATGAAAAAAAATTTCGTTACCAGACACGAAATTCATCAAGTCACGTGAGCGTACCACCTCCAGTGCCTCCAGCCGTCTCCGAGCACACCTGGACTCCGAGGAACGTGAACCTGGATGATTGCGTGTCTTACTTGGAGAAGGAGGTCGCTAATATTAAGTAAGTTTAATAAAAAAAGGTTTGGTTACCACCCCTATTCAACCCGTGGATGTCGTAAGAGACGACTAAGGGAGTAAACTAGGCAGGACCACTGTAATGCAAAGAGAAGGAAAACTTGACGAAACCTTATACTAAAACGTCTGGCCAGCGTGGTATAGTAGGCCAACACCTCCTTTCTAAGGAGAGGCCTATGTCCAGCAGCGGACTATTAAAGGCTGTTGATGATGATGATGGTAGAGGTCTCGAAGTATCCAGCAACAGTCATCCGTATAAGCAGTATCCATTTATCCCCTACTAGCTGACCCGCGCAACTTCGTCTACGTCTCTCAATGGTAATAAATTTTCTCCGTTTTTGAAACATTCTTCATTGGTGCTCCGCTCCTATTGGTCTTAGCGTGATGATATATAGCCTATAGCCTTCCTCGATAAATGGGCTATCTAACACTAAAAGAATTTTTCAAATCGGACCAGTAGTTCCTGAGATTAGTGCGTTCAAACAAACAAACAAACAAACTCTTCAGCTTTATAATATTAGTATAGATATTCCTATTCCCCTTATATACGTGTGGTGACGGATTAAGAATACAGAGTGTAACCACCCCATTCATTCCGTGGGTAGTCGTAAGAGGCCGACTAAGGGAGCGAAATACAAGCAGGACAACAGCATTGCAAAAAAGAAGGAAAACTTGACACAAACCCTATACCAACCCGTCTGGCCAGCGTGGTGTAATAGGCCAAATCCTCCTTTGTAAGGAGAGGTGTATGTCCAGCAGTGGACTATTAAAGGCTGTTGATTTGACAATATTCATTTCAGGTTAGTCCTCACAGAAGAAAGCAGCCGTCGCGAGGTCCAGTCAACTGAACTCGAGACTATTCGTTCTAAAATAGTGCTGGTGGAAGAACGCAGTCAGCACTTTCTATCTACCCTCGTGTCTCTCCGAGCAGCTGTTGATGATGAGGCGGAACGTTCAGCCAACTGGGCGGCACAGTTCAAGCATGACCTGGCCAATGTGCAGCTGGCATTACAGGTCAGTATAGCGTATACCTTCTTTAATAAGTTATATAGGCTGAGGCTATTAATTCAGTGGCAAAAGCCGGTACATAAACGGATATAGTGTCTTTCCGGTATAAAGGCTGAATATCTGATCAGGCCCAATTCAATTCTGAATTCAGATAATTATGCTTTTGAACCTCAACTCAATGTTCGTTCTGAAACGGTTGTATTATCCCACTCGGAGCTACCATAAAACTTTCATTGTGCAATGTAGAATCAAAAGTTATTACGAAGTTAGATTGGTTGCCGCTAGATGGTGTTAAAGAAGGTTTTTTTTTGTATAGGATGTCGCCCCACTTTTCAGGTACTTTTTGCAATATAACAATCTTCAGTACCAGGGATTTCCGTTCTAGGGCACACCTGGTTCCCCTGCTACTGGTACCCAAAACGGCGTTGGGTTTTTAGTCGGTTCGAGTCCGACATAGCGACCGGTGGGTGGTATCCGATTGGATTTCCGCAAAAAAATTCATACAAGTTATTCTCAGGAATAAAAAAAAATTGGGGAAAGCATGATTAACTATTTTTATGATATACACAAATGTATTTTTTTATGATAAATAAAAAAAGAATGCAAACCTTCAAAAACCCCCCGTATTTTTAGTCTTTAAAGAAAAGCAGGCAAAAAACCTAGCTGTTTGTTAAATATTTTCATTTCGGCACCAAACTGTTACTCGTATTTTCAGGAACTACAAGGCCAGCAGTTGTCAACAGTGATGAGATTGGAAAGCACGGTGAGCGGACTGGTGCACGAGCAAAATGAAAGAGAACTGCTTGAACAGGCCCTCACGCAGCACGACAGTAAAATTAGAACAGTTAAAAAATTAGGTACCAAATTAGAATAGAATAATCTTTATTGTACACCAATTCAGGATATAATACATAATAAGTATTCCAAGTTAATGACCATGTACAAATGGCGGCCTTATCGCTAAAAAGCAATATCTTACAGTCAACCTTTGGATGGACAAATAGACTGTAAATAGGTAATTTCTGTAAATTTACTGTAAAAAGTGAATGAATGCTGATGAATGAACGTCTCGTATTTATCTTAAGAACAGAAATTTACTATCTAAGCTGGATAAAAATGCATTACTTTTAATAGTTTTACTGCGTTTAAAACATTAAAAAAATCTGGTAAATCCTTAACAACCTTTAATAACTGTAAGGCAAGCGTTGTATATAGCAAAGCTTTATGTAAAAACTTATTACAGCAGTGAAATTGGACAGCTTTTGATTATCCTAATAACAGATTTGGTAATTTATTGCAAAACTATGTAAGGAGAGACTAGCCCCTAGCATTTTAGCAGATTCTTTTTTGGATCCACACATAAATTTTCGGGATAAAGTTCTATGACTTAATTCGAGATGCCCCGTTTAATCCTACCAATTTATTTAAATCACATCCTACGGGACATACAAATTTGAAAAAAGGCCATGTCTTAATTCGAGTGCATTTAATGTGACGCAAATTTATCAAAATTATACAACCGTTTGCAAAGAAGACACCAAACAATGGACACACTCAAAAACTTTGCCTTTATAATATTAGTGTGAAGTGTGACAAGCAAACCCTTTATTAAAGACTTAAGAAAGC